AAAAAGAAGCTGCAACAAAATGAAATGAAGACCATGTTTGAGCCTCATCACAACCAGGTATCTCGCACAGCCCTGCATACAAGATTAGAGCTCAATTCCTTTCTTTCAGAAGTTAAAGTAAGAATCAAGGAAATAATAAACATTGTTCATCCTATTTTCTGGTCAGATAACAGAATGAAATCAACTTAATCAAGTTAACAGAATATAAACATTGCAGACATAGTTTAACATTTTTGGGTGCAGAAGACTACTGCTTCAAATGGATAAAACTTACCTATAACATCAACGGTGAAGTGAATGTAATAACTGGATAATGAAGAAGTTAAACTATGAAGAACAGTTTAAGATACACAACTACCAGTACACCATGAGCATAAGGCAACTTAATGAACTCAAGCAAACTGATTATTCTACAAAGGATGGGAACCAGCAATACAAGGTATCCAAAATTTCATGCACAACAGGTTCTCGCTAACTCAATCTAGACTCTGATTTTGAATGTCTCAACTCTGTATTGTTCTCCAAGAGGGTCGAGAGACTTTTATGAAAATTAACAATCAGCAGAAGAATATTTTCAGACAACTGTACTCGGTGCAACCTGACAATCCACTGCTGTTGAACCATGGTGGTAGTATTACTAGCAATAGAATCATCGTGGTTATAAAATCATAGGTCTGTTTCAACAGAAGTATGACACAGAGAAAAAACCAATTCAAATTTGCAAGTGTTTTACACAGGTCCTTATTCACACATGCAAGATCCCATAACACATATCAATTACATCAACAAATATGACAGCTAAAAGAAGAAAATGAAGAGAGTACTCAAATAAAAGTTGTTAGCTTCTAACTAAAACAATCGAAGAATTAAAAATTCATCAACTGATACATCTCTTCTTATTTTGAAAGTAACTAGAGTAATTCTCACTTTATATTTAAAATAAGTAACTTATTAGCAACTTCAACCAAATTCTCATTTGATAAACGTTGCGAAAGACACCTTTTTGCAACGTTTATATACAAAATGTTGCTAAAACTCAATTTTTGCACTTTGTTTTTGCAACATTCACTTATCAAAATGTTGCGAAAGACCTCTTTAGCAACATTTAACTATTGAATGTTACTTTTTATATGTTGCGAAAGCTTGTTTTTGGCGTAGTTAGAGTGACTATTTTGCATAGAACCTTTGCAATTGAAAAGGAGACGTGCGTCTATAAAGGTCATGAATGAATAAAAAACACATGAGCAGTAATACAGTTTACCTATTAAACGATTTTAAAATAAAGTAAATTATTATTCTTTGTTGCATTATAAATAAATATGATAAAAACTTAAATTTCGAGTTTGGACAACTATTTATTAAAGATTGTGAAAGACGCGAGGCGTGATAATGCGATAAGATCAAGTTTCAAACCTTATGATCTTAAACGTAATAAAGTACTTCTATCTTTTTAATATTATTTAAATTATGATAAG